TTCCAAACCATTGGGAACTACAAACTGGATCGAAGTATGAACATTACTGGGATGTATCACTTTCCAAACCATTGGGAACTACAAACTGGATCCAAGTATGAACATTACTGGGATGTATCACTTTCCAAACCATTGGGGTCTACAAACTGGACCCAAGTATGAACATTACTGGGATATATCACTTTCCAAACCATTGGAGTCTACAAACTGGATCCAAGTATGAACATTACTGGGATATATCACTTTCCAAACCATTGGGAACTACAAACTGGATCCAAGTATGAACATTACTGGGATGTATCACTTTCCAAACCATTGGGAACTACAAACTGGATCCAAGTATGAACATTACTGGGATATTATCACTTTCCAAACCATTGGGAACTACAAACTGGATCCAAGTATGAACATTACTGTAATATATCACTTTCCAAACCATTGGGATCTACAAACTGGATCGAAGGTGAGTTTATCACGTACCCTTGAATTTTGGTAATTCATGAGACAACAATTTCTTGTGACTACATACAGGGTCACCTGTGCTATGACCACCCCGGGTTTTAGCGTTATAAGTCTCCAGTTTTGCCACAGATAGAAACTCCTGTTTATTAGTGTGATAATTTATCGTTGAACTATATTTATTAGTATAGAATATCCCGTGTCGATGGCAACTCGTCTGCTGGATAAATTAGTAGCATCAACGCCACATATTTTCCAAATAGTATACGAATGTAGGCTTAACGTGACGAGTAGAAGACCACTAAATACGTGATACATATAATTATAGAGAATATTATCCAAAATATTCTGTTTCTTGGAGTGACACACGGTTTGGGCTTTGATTCCTTTCTGGGGCCACCAAAAGATTCGAGATAACGACCATTCATGGTATTTCACATTTTAAAAATAAAATAACACGACATTGTTTTCTTTGTTTTTTAAATCTCTGTTTTATTCATTCTCATTGGGCATATTTTGGACCAAAAGTGTATAGAACCATTCTTTCTATTGCAGCCATCTTTTTCAAACATTCATGCTGCATACAATAACATTGTAAAGCATCACGTTACGGTTAAACAAAAAAAATAAAAATCCCCCGCTCTTCAGTGTTTGTTTGTCTTAGCGCAAAACTACACAATATTGACCCCCGGTGGGACAGCGGTAAGTCTTCGGAT